TCTGCCCTGGCGTGCTTCCCTGCGTATCGCACGGGGGCAAAAACTCAAGGTGAAGAGCAGCGAGGTGGTCACAGCAGCTGATGGACTATTTATACGATGATAACTGTGTCTGTTGCTGACTCTATGAACCACATCCAACAGCATCTATTTCGGTGCCGAGGAGCCCTGACGGAGCACATTTTGATTAATAAATTATCGGGCGCAAGGTGTGTGATGGGTTCCCCTTTCACATCTCATGAAAGTCATCCGCTCCAAGTTCAGCGGCTTAGCAAGCCTGGGGCCTTTCGAGGATGTGGCTCCCCGGTACAAACAGCCCTTCGTCTGGCAGGGGGTGGGAAAATTTGCCTGCACGGGGGAATCGGATTCCCCTGGGTGACAGGGAACTCTTCACTAGAGCTGGGCAAGAGCTGCGTCTCTCTCTCCTACGGGTCTGAACGATGGCTCAAAGGCCAAAGGGGTAGGGAGGAAGGAAGAGACATCAATGTCTTTTTTTTTTTCCTTCTTCTTTTCTTTTTTTCTTTTCTTTTCTTTTTTTTTTTCTTTTCTTTCCCCCCTCCCCAGGTTTGAGCCAGTATTTTTAATGGCCTTTTTAAACTGTGAGAGCGTTGGCTGAGGGCAATTAAACATTATGGCCCTCATCTATAAAATCCCTCGTTATAGCAGTGTTTCTCCAAAATGATGCCTATGCCACCATCCGTTCCTCAATGAGCCTGGAAACACACTCCAAATGGGCTACTGCGATCCATCCTGTTGCTCCCAACCCAGCACCACGTTGGTCTCTGCCTTCCCGGTCCCCTGCCCGGCCATGGTGGATGTAGGAGCTGCTGCTGTCCCTCCTGTACCCGCACACGGATGGAGGGATGGGAAAGTTTTCCTTCTCCTTTTACCCGTGACATAACCAGAAGCTGAGCTTGTATGTCCCGAGCAAGCCTGTTCCCTGCCAGGTGAGAGCAACGAGTCTGCCAGAAATGCATTCATATTGTTGTCCCAAAGTTCATTCTTTTTTTCTTTTGTTCTCACCTTTCCTCTGTCTTTTTGAGTATTTAAAAACATTATCTGCTCTGCTTTTCTTCTCCCTGTGCACTCCCTTTTGCTGCCCAGCCTTTCCCTTTGATTCCTACTCTGATTCCTGCTCTGGGTCTCTCCCCCGGTCTCTTTTCCCCAGCTCCGCAGGTTTGCAGCAGTAGCAGAGAGGTAGAAGCGGAGCCTGCCTTCCCACGGGGTGTCCCTCTCCGGGGGATGTCACCTCCTCGGCAGCCTCATATTTATTTTCTGCACCAGGCCCTACCTGCTTTCCTTAAAAGCCGTGCTTGCTTTCCCAGCACTTGAAGGCAGAGCTGCTCCTTCGCTGATGAAAGACCCATTTGTTCCTTTGCTTTGCCTGCTCCATGCAATGGAGCTGGATTCTCTGGTTCTCCGTGAGCGCGCCACATCCTTGTCTGGATGGGGAAGGAGGTGGAGGACATGTAAGCCCTTGTTTAGCAGAAACCGGAGCATGGTCTTGGGTTCCTTTCTCAAACCAGGGGCATGGAAATGAAGTCCTTGGTCTCGGACTAGAAATGCTTTGGAGGTTCGGACCAGACCTCAGGCTAGGCAGAGGATGGCTCAAGCAGGGACACATCCAGCAGCTGGGAACTCCTGAGCCAGGTGAGCGATCGTTTCATTGCCTGCCCGGTGCGGAGCAGAAGGTTGTGTCTGCCATGGGGTGAGCACTGCTCGTGGGAGAGCATGCGAGGGGGACACGGGGGAGAGCAGCGGGGACGCCTTCCTGAAGGTCACTCTGCTTCCATGTCGAGTGCGGCCACAATAGTTCCTGTCTGCAACATTAAAACAGTTTGCAGAGTGCAAACTTGGAGACGGAAAGGTCTGTGCCATTCCATGTCCTCCGAGAAACAGGATTACCTGGGGATCTCAACTGAGTTTAAGATTCTCCATCCCCTCTGTGTTCTCCATCTCACATCTGTGCATTGAAGTCTCACTTCAAAACCAGCGATGAGCAAACTGTGGTTTGCTCCGTTGGCGTGCCCGGCAGGCAGCGCCGGCCGCGCAAGCCATCGGCCGGAGCTCTGGGGCAGCGTGATGAGGAGCTGGCTCAGCTCCCGGTGTCCACCTGGCTCCGAGGCCACCGTGGGCACAGACCCCTGCCACCAGCGTGGCTAGGAGCAGGATGGGGCAAGCGCTGGGAGAGCAGACAAACGGCTTGAAAGCCATCAGCCAGCATGGCTGTCTGCACCGTCAGCTGCGGACTAAGCTGCGCCTAACCCAGACTCGGCTTTCTCCTGGGTCAGGAAGCTGATGGAGAGATAACGGGAGAGAACCAGGCAGGGAGAAGAAATTATACAGAGATGGGGAGGGAAAAGACAACATCGGCTGTTTTTCCCCCACCTTTTTTTTTTTTCCCTTGCTCTGAGGAAAGTGGAGACATGTGAAGATGATGAGAGAGATTTTTGCAAAGAAAGCGTCGCAGGGGAACGTGCATTGTTCGGCGGTGCGAGTACTTCAGCGGGGATCACTGGTCAGAGGAATAATGAAGGCGGTGGTTGGAGAGGCGTTGTAGAGGAAATTATGAAAGGCCTCTGAGGGATGAGTTTGGAGACACCTCTTTTCCTTCTGAGGCTAATTTGCAAAGCGGGCAATTCTCTGCTAGCTGAAAGGCACCCCGGATGGCATCAGATGCATATCTGCCATCTGAGCGGTGTTGGGGAGGCTGAGCTAGAGAAAAGCCTCTGGTGTGCAGCCTGGGAGGGTATTTGGGTCCCTAATTTATTCATGCATCCTTTAAAAAATGACTGTGGTCGAATATGAAACGCATAACCGTATTTAGGACACAGCGCTCAGTGCTGTGTTTAGTCCTTTGTGTCAAATTCCTGCCCTATTGACTTATTTCCACTAAAATCCCTTGGTCTCCGCATTTACAGATGCCTATTAGCAGAATAGTATTTTGTGATTAAAAAGGTATTTTATTACACTTTATATTAGGGGGAGTGTACCAAGATCGCCCTGATGCATAAACTTTACCATGGCAACGTGGCATCCTGGAGCATTTAAATGCCTTGCAGCACAATTCAATATATCTCGTGGAGTGTCCTTCAAACCTGGTATCAGAAGAAGTCTCCTAAAGAGTCAGCCATAAATTACAGAGCAGAGGTGGGAAGTCAAGATGAAAAGAGGGGACTTGTTCAAGGGAGGAAACTAAAGATCATCTTCACGTACAGCAGCAAAAAGTTAGATTAAAAAAAAAAAAGCAAGGCTGCTGCTAATATTTTAAGTAGCCGCGCACCAGTTCATTAAGCTGGCTAGCAGTCAATGGGCCATTTCAGATGGAGAGCAGAGAGGACCAAGGACAGAAATGGGAGGCATTCGGTCCTTCCTCGAGAGGAAGATGTAAAGGCTCGGTAATGGGGGAGAAAGGTGTTACGGCACTTAGGGCTCTGGGAAAGAGAGGAGATGCCAGCAGCCGGCGGCTCCTGAAGGCCAGGGTGGCTCCTGGGGCTGGGAGGGAGGGGAGAGCCGGACCTGGAGGCTTTGCCCATCCCGCGTGGTTAAACGGGGGATCGGAAGGGAGTGAGGTGGATGCTGAGCAACGGGAGGCAACTTTCTGCAGCAGCAGATCTGTCTCGCAGCTCCCTTCCAGGGAAATGATGAATGTCGTGTGTGTTTCATTCAATATATTGAAAAGTCAGTTTTGGGGTTTTTTTATCTTTGACTGGGATAAATATAATATACCTGCAGGGTTTCCTTGCTCCTGTTTGGGGCTGGATCAGGGGTTTCTGCATACCATGAGACAATGAGGGGAGCGGTGCCCATATGCCTGTGTGTAACCTCCTTGGTCATCACTAATTCAGCAGCCTCCTCTGGTATTGTGTCGGGCCGGCGTCGGGTATCCCAGGCTTCACATACCAACTGCTTTCTTTCGTCTGGCTGACAGAGAGAGCCCCTGGGACTGTCGCAAGGGCATTCCCAGTGTAGGACATTCATCTTTTTAGCATCTGCTGGCTGTGAGACTCAAGTGCTGTCTTAATCCTCTCTGGGTATCTAATTCCAGAGGAGGAGTCAAGCTGAGGATGGGGTGCTCGGTGGAGGCAGCACAGCCCTCTGTGGCACCCTCTCTGGATGCTTGCACGTAAGGACCGGCACAGAGGCCAAGTTTGGCTCAAGCAGAGGAAAACAAGGCAGCTGCATGGGGTCAACACATCTGGCAAGAGCATAAAAGCAGGGCAAGTGCCTATAGTACTTATCCTAATACTCTCCCTGGCACCAAATACGTCCAACTAAGAAAATTCCTGAGCTGCATGTGGCTTCTCTGTTATTTGATGGATTTTTTTTTTTTCTTTCATTAACCTTCCCAGTCTCTCCTTGAATACGTGTGGACTTTTATCATCCTCAGCATCCTCTGGCAAGAGACCCCGCAGTTAAACTACTGCTTGATAAGCGCAGAATTACTTGTGAGCTTGATTCGTCTGTACCTTCCTCTGATTAACCTGGACTGATGTCTCTTAACTCTTGTACTTTAAGAGAGAAGCCATGCCCACCCGGGGACATGGTGCACTGTGAATGCAGGCAGTTGTTCAAAGGGGAGCACCTGGATTCGGCCCTGGTTTCGGCATATTTTAACCAAAACCCTTTGAAATTCTTCAAGTGCAATGCCTGCAGCATTCGCAACTGTATCGGCTGTTGGAAGGAAAGCACCGTTTTGAGCCCTGAGCTGGGGCAGGTGAGAAGAGGAGAGGATCATTACAGCCATTAAATTTTAAAGCACATTGAGATAACGTGCAGGGTTCGCAGAGCCCAGTGCAGCCTCTGCCCAGCTTGGAGCTCCTGCCCTGGCAGCCGGTCTGCTCTGTAAAACCTCTCTTCCAAGCACCGGGTCCGGTCATGCATGGATGCTGGTGGGGGAAGAGGTTCATGTCGTCTTGCTTCCCTCTCTGCATTACCCCCCGCGCCATTTGGCATCGGCTGTAGCAGCCGCCTGTGCTCACGCTGCCTGTTATTTTTCTCAGGTAACACCAACAGCATCTTTGCACTGGACTACATCAGCGGAGCCTTAACCCTGAATGGGCCGCTGGACCGGGAAAACCCCTTCTATAGCGCTGGATTCATCCTCACAGTGAAGGTGAGACCTCCTCCATCTGGGAGATGCACCAGCAGAGCAGGATGGGGAAGGGCATCCTGCTTGGGGACATGTTCTTCGAGGAGGAGTCACAAACCTGGGACGCGTTGCTCGTGTGGTCATCCGGAGCCGTGATGTGGTGTTCCCTGGCCAAGCTAAGCAGGATGTTTAACGCAGCCCCCTTGTAGGGTGCCCAAAACGTGGTTGCCTCTATATGGATGTAGAGGGTCATTTTTGGTGCCCTGCCTGGCCTTCAACTAGATCGCCCTGTGGTTGTATCTGCTGGCAGCGTGCTGATGCCCTGGGATTGCAAATAGCGTGAGACACCTACATTCAGCCACCTGAATTGTGCCTATTTCTCACCTTTCCCCCAAAAAAACCCCAGAAAAACAGGAACATTTTGTCACGTCAGCAGGCAGCGGTGTAACAGGGCATCGCCTGCATCTGCCCGGCGCAGGCAGGCCTGGGGAGGGAGTGATGCTGAAAGTTGCCTCGTCAAGAAGAGGCACTGGAGCGTGGTCTTGCAGCCCCACCAGCCCCACCTGAGAACGGCTCCCCGGCTCCGCTCGCAGCCCTGTAATTAGAATCAATACCGAGCTGGGCAGCTGGTTGGAAACACATTTAGAAGTATAGATTCTGCTGGGCCGAAGAAGAATCAGCATTGTAGGAAGGGTCATTGATTGGGAGAGCAGCAGTCGGCACATCACCTTCTCGTTTTGGCAAGTGCAATGCTTTGTAGGGGGGCAAAAGGACAAGAAATTACCCCTCTTGGTCCCAGGCACGGGTCGTAGCGTGGGGCTTTATGCACAGGGAAGAGATCCGCATCCATCTCTAGTATCTCTTGGCTTGGGCTTTTATAGTTTAAATTCAGTAGAAATCTAGAGAGGGAGGATTGTCTGGTTTTAGTAGGGACAAAAATATCTGTTTAATCTTGGAAAGGTTTGTGAACCTGAAAACTTGCCCATTTTCCTGCCTGCATGATAATGGAGTTCCAACTATATTCTGTTGATCCAATAGATTTTATTTCCTCTCCCCACAAACTTTGCATCCTCCTGTAAATGCCAACCTCTCTGCGACCCGCATCCCCAGGACCCAAAATGTTCTCTGCTGCTCTCGTCCTGGAGCACGCAGTGAAAATACAGCTGGATTGCTCCTTGTTCGGATCAGCCTGTTCTGCTGTTGTCTGCAGAAGCGGTGAATAGCAATGAGCCGTGTGGGTCGTGTTAGCGTTGCTTTTCTATGCCCACAGCAAAGCAAGATTATCCAAAGGACAAGAGGAGGGACTGTGCTTGAAACGGCTGTTTCACAAGTCTTGCTTCTC